AGAGCCACTCTCCCCCCATCCCTGTGCCCCCCCTCCCCACCAAATGAGCCGCTCACAGCTCCATCCCGCACCCTGCCCCAGCTGGGCAGCGCCTGTTGGTGCCACTTTGCTTCGGCGCCCAGGGCAGTTGCCCTGCTTGCACACCCCCCATTTGCTACAGCACTGGCAGTGGTTATAAGCTTAGGTCTAGTACCATGTGAATGCAGCCATGCTTCTCATTCAGAAGGTACCCAATCTAGCTCTGCATGGGCTAATGCTGCATGGCACTGTCTATGGCAGGGGTGGGCAATTATTTTGGGCAGAGGGCCGCTTGCTGAGTTTTGGCAAGCCATCAAGGGCTGCATGACAGGCAGCCAGAAGCAAGTAAATATTAATTTTCTAAATTTTTGGGGCCCTGCAGGGCAGAGAGAATGGCCTGGCAGGCCGCATCCAGCCTGCGGGGCACATTTTGCCCATCCCTGGTCTATGGGTAGAAATGCACATACATTGTATGTTTGGAACCGTTTCAAATGGGGAACATTTGGCAGCAGCTGGTAAATTGTAACTTATGTGCAGACAAGCTACAAATGTAGCAAAACTGCTCCAACTTTCACGGATGATGAAGCAACCTTAAAGTTTTATCATTCCTAGCTCACCTGCATGTAATAATTAGAACATAACAGTGCTGCCCTTTTGAAATGACTTCAAACATACCTGTGGCCATACCCTATGTCAGCTCTAAGGGGAGAACCTCCCAAATTACCGCAGCTAATTAGTTACACCTCTCAGAGCAACACACTTAAATCCTGAAGTATTTCTTTCTGTACCAGTGACATATATTTTAAGACCCCCCCCATTTTACTGATGGGACATAAAACACTAATAAGTTAAATGACTTGCCAAAGGTAAAACAAAATACAGACAGAATTATAATATGGGGTTTACTATTTCCCTAAGATGTGCTCTCTCCACAGCTTCTCACTAGGCAGTCATACATAGACAACCTTGCATTTCTTTGTAAACATGTTATTTCTCATTTTCTGTGATACAGCAATACATGGCATTTGTTTTGGCTGGAAGAATTAACGCCAAACATTATGCTTTACTAAAGAAACATACTTCCTTCCATGCATTGGTGTAAATCCTAGTGACTTCAACAGAAATTACACGTCTTATTTGGAGTGGCACAAACACCTAAATAAACATTAAACATGCTAAGAAAATGTTCAAATCTCTGCTTTCCTATGCAGCATTGTAAATATTTTTTTCACTGTATAAGAACATGCCTGATGCAAAGAGAATGCCAACCTCTACCCTCATATTCACTTCTGAACCCTCCCTTCCCTTCTCCATACCCATTTACATGACAGCTTAATTTGGTTTTGAGCCTTTTCCTATGTAGAGTTATAGAATCAATCCAGCAAGGTATCAATGTTTTTAGAGTCTGGGCATTCAGAATTAATTGGCATCTTTACTGTCTACGTGGATATTCTAAATAAGACAAAAATAACCATATTGCATATTTACTGTGCTGCTTCATTTGTGTATTTTTAAATCTGTCCTTTGCTGACACGAATGTTCCATTGCATAAGCCACTAAAAGATGGTCAAGAAGAAAGTGAAGAAAATGTGCCAGAGGAATATTTTATTTCTTATTCAAGTGTCTCATTACTGCTTTAAAAATGTAGTGTTTCTGATCAGTGCTCATAATATTCATAAATGTTCTGTTGCTATTCAAAATGCATTTAAAAAACGGGCA